TTGTAATTCCACGAAGAAGCCTTTACCTCGAGTACCCTTCTACTCTTCTCCTACTTTAATTAAAGCAAAACCAAGTGTGTTTATGTCACACAGTCCTTTTAGTAGACCTACTGATGTCTTTGAAAGTCCAAACACTGACTGCTAATTACTTTAAAAGACCATTGGTCAAGGTAACTAGTAGTGAAGTCAACATGGCATTTCTATTGATTATGTCCTAAAACTGCCTCACCTAATTGGGAACAGTTGGCTAGTACGTTGGCTTTTTAACTGACCTCCTTTAACCTTTAAAATCACAAGCTATGAAGATGCCTGTGGTATTTTGAGTCACATATAATACTGACATTCTTTGCTTCTGAGGTTTCTTCTGATTAGAGCTTGAGCTTATAAAGTGACGTGATCCTGTACACAGCTTACAGACAAAAGGTCCAAAGCACACTTTTACGTCTGTTGATTGAATGCACATGATGACAAACAGTCAAGTGAATTCCCTTCAGCTTGAGTGGGAAGAGCTTTCGGTAAAGTTCTTGTATTTAATGTTCTCTAACAACTAGCACGGCCTCAACGAGGAGGGGGTTTTCCTTTGTTTTAGAGGGGAGAATGAAAGCAGAAGAAAGCCAGTTAGATCTTGACTTGAATGCCGACATACAAAAACACTGAGTTGAAACCATGCAAAGCAACTAGAAAATGATGCAGTTGTTTGGAAGTGTAGATATGAAGGAGCCTGAAGGCTTCACTGCATTGTACAGCAAGAAGCCTGGAGTATTTGTATCTCGGCAAAAAATTGGATGGATCAGTACAAATTTGCTGTATCAATTCTTTTAAGCTATGCTCAGATTTGTACATGAACCTTCTGAATTCTTGTCTGATTAACACATTTCCTAACTTCTCAATTCCACATAAACTTGAAATATATTACTTAATAAATTACAATTCTTTTTACTGTGTGTTATGAAGGGGTATAATTTTGCAAGTTTTAAGGCACTTGATATCCCCTATGCTCTTGCTAACACTGTGCTGGTTATTGTCCATTGCTGGAAACCTGATCCGCGTGTGGCTGTGCTCACTAGTCTCCATGTCGGTCCTTACAAACTATGTATTAACTGTGTGAGTTAGAAGGTAATTACTGAACATGAACTATACATGATAATGTGACCAATAACCATCCCAAGTAAGAGTACCTACGATATTTGTGATTAATCCTGAACAAAATCACTTACTGAGCAGACACTGTGTTCACAGAACGCTGCATTCCTTCCTTATCCAGCAAAGATTAGTAACTTCTGAGTCAGGCTTATGCCTGGATTCTGGGAATGAGGAAACAAAGATGTTGTGGTTACTCGTTTTGCACAAACTGGTTCTTTTCAGAGTAGCGGTTTTTACCACGGGGTGAAATGAAAACAGCTGCCAACTGCAATTTGCTTCAGAAAGGCAGAGTCCGCGGGTCACGTCTGCGGCTCTGAGGAGCCCCGATCCTTGATGCGCTGCAGCCTCTGAGCATTTTCCTTTTCCTGAACGTTTAGCACTGAATTCTCACCTTCACAAACACTGCTGTGTGGGATCCGGGTGGGAGAGCGGGCTCAGCCCTTTCTGTGCTACGGCGTGTAGACGAAACAGCCGGCGCGTCCCCAGCAGAGCCCAGCGTGGCGCGAGTAGCGTGAGGCTCCCGGGCGTACCCGAGCCCTTCCCACCCGCTGTGGGTACCGGGGCCATCGCAGCGCAGGGCTAAAAGTATTCAGTGCCCATCATGAGAAAGTCCTGAGCAGCCCCAATCTGCTTTTACCTACCAGTGCAGGCAAAATCCAGGGAATTAGCCTCTTGGGGCAGGACTCTGCTCACCTAACATCAGGTGTGATGTGGACGCTGGAGCTCAGCTAGCTGCCCCAGCCTCCTTTTTCCATTCAAGAGGACAGGGCACTCGGTGTCACCATTCACCCGACCCAGTTTAGACCTACTAGCACCCAGGGAGTGCACCAGAGCTGACTACAACGGGAGCCTAAGGCCACGCCAGCAGCCCAGGTTGACTCGGATTTATCAGACGAAGCCCACCTTGGAGTCTCGGTGTGGTGTGCTGCACTTCTTAGACACGCTATAGATTCCGTCTGAAAATAAACCCGATGTTCCTCTTCAGAACCCTCAACGCTAGCCCAGGGGCCGGTGAGCAGCACACCTGCCAAGGGCTAATTTTAGAGTGTCCCAGTTGCCTGCCTTGGAGGTGTTGCCTTCCCTCTGTCTGATCCCTAAGTAGTCAGTAGGGAAATTAAAGGGGATTAAAATAACAAGGCTATTTCCTATCCTTCTTCAGATGAACCCGGACTGAACCAGACCTCATGGAATTTTCTAATGACTCCCTTAAAATGTATGTATGTGCTCAATTCAAGTTTAGAAGAGCAGATAAAAGGCGGAGACTCTTCATCTCTGTGAGAAAGGACCTCTGGTTACTACAAACTACTATTTTCTCCAAAGGCTGCATTTATTTTAAATTAAAAATCAAATAAAGCGCATTCGGTGCTTCACTGTTTAAAATCAGCAGCGCAAGTTTTACTGGGCTTTCTTTGAAGAGAAACTGCATACCTGAATTCAGGTCAGGTCACCCTGAGAGCATTTAAGCTCCAGAATGAGGATGACTCGAGTGTCCTTTCCCCCGCTGCAGTTTGGTGTTGCTCAGCATTATTGCCACTGCTGCTTGCAATTAAATGGAGCAGCCCTCGCTGCCCCCCCCCCCCCCCCGCCACGAGCTCCTCTCACCTCTCAGGTGAAAAAAGAAGAGAAGAATCATCTGTTCCTCCAAAGGCATCCTTAGAGCTCCTGCTGCGCCCTTCACCAAATGAAAAGCAAAACCGAATGGCCCCGGCAAACCCGAGCGAAACCTCATTGAAATCTCTTCTCTCCCAACCCCATCTGCGCGGTGGGGGAGCGGGGCGGGCGCGGGGCCTGCCCCCCAGGGAGGGGAGCAGTGGCTGCGGGTAGCCCCAGGCTAGTGAAGGGATGGGGAAGCCCTGAAGCAAAGGGAGGCGAGAAAACAGCACCCGGAGTTGAGTGTGTGTGTGTGTGGGGGAAGCCTTGTGCGTGGAAACGCTGCCGGCGGCTGCCCCGATGCCCGTGCTTTGGGACGAGTGTGACAGCACCGGGGCAGCTCGTCCCCGCGTCCTTCCTCCTGCCGCAGCCTGGCCAGGGCTGCTCAACCCGACATCGTCCTTGAACTCGGGAGTCATCCGCAAGTAAATGATGCCCATTCTTCTTCACCTGCTCCCTCCAGTTGACCCTTCCGAACAACCAGCCACGGAGAGCCCCACAGGACACACAGCCAAACAATGCCAGGAATTAATACAACACCCCCCCCTCACCTGAACAGCCTTTGAGCTGCCTCCACTAGAGACCGGAAGGTGTAATTTCAGCTTTATGTTTGCTACTTGTTAGGGACACAGGGAAAGACAAGTTCTGTTTTTCCCAAATAAATGGAAAAAAAAAAAAAAAAAAGGAAGAAAATAGGTGGGGAAGGAAATTTTATTTCCAAGCTTCTAAAAGGATCTTACAAACCACAGAGAGTAAAAAAATGCAAAACTATATATATATATTATATATATATATATATATATAATTGACAGGGTCCTTTTAAGCAATTCTTCACATTATTCTAATGGCGATAGGAGATACCACTTAACCATATATGCGTTTTTCCTGGAATCCTGATCACTGCCGACAGCTGACAAAACTCTTCTCATACAAAATGTCCCCTAGACTGTACAGATTTCTTTTCTTGAAAGCAAAGAAGGAAACAGAACAAATTAAGGAAAAAAAAAAAAAAAAAAAAGAAACAAAAAAAGAAACAAAGAAACTCTTTTAAACAAGGTGTTCCCAGGTAGGGCTGTGTGAAAGCCAGGCGTGATGCCTGCTGCACGGCTACGGGACCCCCTCCTAACCCCCGGCACTCCATGGCTCTTGGCAGCACGGGCTTTTCTCCGGCATCAGTAACTCACCACCGTCCCACCCGTACCCCCCCGCTTCCCTGCACCCACCTTGCCCAGGGTCTCATGCCCCAACCGAGCCCCAACCCTGCCCAGCTGCACCCCTCGACCTCAGCACCACTCCACGCCCACCCCTTCCCACCAACCCTAACCTCAACCTTTATTTTTTAGGACTTCCTAACAGCTCTGTTCATCCAGGAGTTAATCCTGGACCTCCATCCCCACCAGCAGCACAGCTTCCAGCTCAGCATCCCCCCTTGCTATTCCAAGCATCCCTGCAGCACGGATGCCAGCGCATCCAGGAGGAATTCACACTCCGCTTTTCAGGATCTGGCACCCACATCAGGAAGCCATGGGCTCATGGACAAAACGAACAGCTCCAAACCAGAAAGGACCTCAGGAAATAAATGCAGAGAAAGCCAAGAGATAGAAACGGAGCCAGGGCAGCTCCATGCGCTCCAGATTCTTGCTCGCCCTGAAATGTTGTGGCGGCTTTTGGACATTGCCAAAAAGTAAACAAAACCCCAACGATCCCTTGTTTCCCCATCCCACCCCCCAACAGTTTCTTCAACACTTAATGTCCAGCTTAAGTGAAATCAACAGATTTTAAAATCCACACAGGTGTCAGAAAGGAAAGTAACAAAAATTAGCTAGTCCCTGTTGTTGCCACAACAAAAAAAAAACCCAGCTTGAGCCTCGGAGGCAGAGGGCTAAACGCAATGTCTCTCGTAGGGGCTGGGCCACCCCACTTCAGAGGTCTAAGGGGCTCTTTGGGTCCCATTCCCAGCAGGGAACCCCCCTCAGGGCCCGGACATCTCTCGCTGTCCCCAGGCATCCTCTGTCCCCAGCCTGGCACTGGGGATGCTGCTGCAGGCAGCTGAAGGAGGAGGATGGCTTGGCCCTGGGGCACCCCAGCTCCTTCCTGCACAGCTCAAAAGCCAGGCTGGGGCTTAGCCCCGCACCACCTTCCTCCTCCTCCTCCTCCTCTGCTACATCCTACATGGAAAACAGGCAACCACAAACACCCCAGCCAGCTGTGTGAAAGAACGTATATATTCAGCACGCACTCAATACAGTATAGCAAAAAAGCTATCGTTTCCTTAACAACATCAACAACAAAAAAAAAAAAAAAAAAAAAAAAAAAAAAAAAAAAGAACCACCAAACTTTCAAAATAACCACCAAAGCTTCCAAATTGCTCCCCACCCTACAGCCCTGATGCTCGTTCTTCTGGCCCGAGCAAGGCAACCAGCGGCAAGTGACCCCAGCCCCTTGTGCCAATCCTGCCAGGCAAGGGGCAGAGGGTGGTCCTGGCTCCCCGGCAGCACCTTGCGCCCAGCACCCAGCTCCTCCCGCAGAGCCCGGGGTGCCGGGGATGCTCCTGCCCGAGAGGGGCCTGGCCAGCGGTTTGCTCCGGTGCTATCCCGTGCAGTTATTTGGGGGGGGGGGGGGGGACGCGCACCAAAGAAAACAGAAAGCGGGGCAGGCTCTGGCTGTCGGCCCGGGGAGGGGAGGGGGGGAGCAGCCGCAGCCTCGCCGGGGCTGGACGCAGCCCGAGGGATGTGCCAGGGAGGAGAGGGGATCCCCTCGCCGATGCCGGGGTGGGGGGTCCACGCTCGGATGGCTGCGACGGCATCTCCGCTGCTTTCTGCCGGAGGTGGGGGACGAGGCCGAGGAGGGGGAGAGGAGCGGCACGGTGGTGGGGACGGGGGGGCTGGCAGGACCCTCGCCGCTGGGCACGGAGGGGAGGTAGATCGGCTTTAGAGACCTCTTGCCCAGGAGGATGTCTTCTCGGACACCAGCTCGGTTCCTGGGGGGGGGAACGAGCCTGCTGCAGGGCCCTGAACACCCCCCGCTTGCCTTCTCCCAAGGGGAAGGTGTCTCGGAGCCTGTTCACGCCGCCGAAAAGCTCTTGAACTGGGGCGGGGGGGCAACTTTCCTCCTAACTTTTTAGCCCTGAAACTGCCTCCGTGGCTGCTGCAGGCAAACTCCCGGCAGCTGGGGACAAGCCTGGAGGTGGCGGCAGGGACCTGTGGGGCAGGAGGGACCCCAGCTCCCTCTGCTCACCCGCCTGGCGGGACCCCAACCCCGACCCCAGCCCCTCTCCCTGCCCCGCTGCAACGGTCCCGCTGCCTCCCCTGCCCCGTGCGCCGTGGGGACAGCCCGTGTGATGCTCCCCGTCCTCCCCCCTCCCCAGGTCCCCGGCCCCAGCGTCCCCCCTGCCGTCAGTCTTGCTGCTCGTTCATCTCCATGTCCGACACCAGGATGTTCTTCTCGGCGGATTCGCTGGGGTTGGAGGTGGTGCGGCTGTAGCGGGCGCTCTCGAAGGCGCCCCGCTCCGCGCTCCGCCGACGCTTGTACAGGTAGACGGCGACCCCCAGCATGGCGCACAGCGCCAGCGTCGACAGCACCACCACCGCGATGGCCGTCGTGTTCTCCGGCAGAGCTGCGGGGAGGAGGAAAAGCCCCTGAAAGGCAGCCCTGCCATCTCCAGCTTCGGCTGGTGGCTCTTCCCGGTGGACTGGGGGCTCTGGGGCAGAGAGGGGCAGGACTGGAGCCTGCTTTGGTATTTTGGGGACAACGCCCGTGGCAGAGCTCCCGGGCCTGGGCAGAGCCTCTCTGGGTCACTCTTGATGTGTGGGAACATCTGGCAGCTGCCAGGGCTGGATTTTTGGGATCCCACCAGCAGATGTGGTGTCCATCCCCCAGCCTGGCCAGGCAGCGTGGGCAAGGGCAGGAGAGCCCAGCAAGGGGCTGGCCGGACACACTCCTCCATGGGGGATGGCTCCTGCCGCTGGGGAGTCCCAACCCTGGGCTAAAGCCACCTGGGAACGGGATTTCCTACCCATAAACACCATTTATTTGGTTATTAATACAAGCTGGGCTGCAGCACAGTCCCCCAGCACCCGTTCCTGGTCCCAGTACTGTGCCCAGGCCGATGGTGCCACTCACCTGCCCTGGAAAAGCTGCTCTCCTCCACTGCAATGGCAACACAGACAGATGAGTGCGTGGCCACGGCACCCTCCCCTATTCCCAGCACCGGCACCACCAGCCCCACACCCTCCACTGCTCCCAGCGCCGCACCACGCAGACGCTGGGTGATGCTCAGCTGCGGGGGTCCTCCAGTTCTGCTCCATCCCCCTGAGGCGCTGACTCCACCACCGAGACATGCACAGCCCACCACCGAGCCCAGTGGGGACCTACAGACCCCAGTACCATCTACAACAACCCCCCCTACGCTGGAATTGCCCAAAACGCACGGCTGATGCTGCCAGTGGGACACAGCTCTGCCCTGCAGCACCCTGCCCGGACCCCCAGCTCAGCCCACATCAGCCCAGGCGCCTCGGGCAGCAAGGGGGGGGTCCCTACCTCGGGGGATCTTGCAGATGACCCCCATGGTGACGTTGGTGCAGGAGCCCAGGCGCCACACGCCGTTGCTGCTCTGGATCCAGTAGCAGCTGTTCTGGCTGAGCATGCTGGGCCCCGTGTCGTGCTGGCCCCAGTTGGAGTAGTTCACGGCGGTGTTGTCATGCCAAACCAAGGTGCCACCTGGGAAATGGAAGAATTAGGTCTGGGGAGGCTGAAGGGGACACTCCCATCTCTGCCCCAGTTCAGAAAGCACAGGGAAGGGTGATGGGGTGATGGGGAGGAGCAGGGGCTGCAGGCCGCCCTCCTGAACCTGCAGGCTCCAGTGGCTTGGAGGAGGCTCTGGGCTGCAAAGCACCACTCCCATCCCACCAAGCCAGAGGACACACACGGCACATCCAGCATGGCCTGAGGCACTGGGGCTCCTGGTCACACCATGGTATAACCCCCCTCCCACTGGTGCCACCACCAAGGGCTTCCTCTGCTCAGCACACACCTGGTGGGAATTCATGGTGGTGCCTGGGGGAATATCTAAAACCTCACTCTTTTCTCGTACCTTTGGGGTTGAAGGTCATGCCCAGCCAGGCACCTTTGGATGGGCCCTCGTACGCCTGGAGATGCTCCCACACGAAGACGTTCTCCATCTCGTCCTGGATGGACAACACCGTGCCGCCAACTGCAGAGGAAAGAGTGTCAGGGAAGAGCCCAGACCTCAGAGGATGGAGCCTGGGAGCAGCGGTGCCTGAGAGGACAAAGCTGAGGAACATCCGTGAACCACATAGTAGCTGGGGAACCCTAACGTAACAGCAAGGAGGAGAGAATGCCCAAGGCTGAACACTGGCACATTGACAGAGGTCTCATTCAAGGGACCCTACCCTCTTTGATTTCCAAGGGTGTGTAACACCCCTCCGCCACCACAGCCCCCCCAATACCTTTCTGGCACCTCCTCATGGCATCCTTCTGCCCCAGGGTGATCTCCATGTGGAAGGTGTAGCAGTGGTCCCGGAAGGGGATCCAGGATGAATCCTCCAAAGATTTGGGACAGCTGCCGCTGTAGCTCCACTTGTGTGTGCGGGGGGCACCTGGGGAGCACACGGTGCATTGGCGGGGGTGGGCGGAGGGGCAGAGGGTGTCAGGGTCCCACAGCGCGTTGGGGCACCCAACCCCTCAAGGACGCGCACCGAGCTGCAGAAGGTCCCTGGTGGGATGCCACCTCCAACCCTCGGTCGCTCCCCCCACACGGTCCACCCCACGCCGAGCCCCCCGTGCCCCCCGACCCGGGCAGCACCTCCTCGGAGCTGGCAGATGCCACCCTGCAGCTTGGTGTCACAGCCGGCCGTGCGCCAGCTCCCGTCGGCGTCCATGTAGGAGCAGCCGGTGACCTGCTGGGGCTCCCCGTCCTGCCAGTTGGCGTAGAAGAGGTTCTCCTCCGTCAACCAGGAGTAGCTCCGGCCTCCCTGGAGAACCAAGGGGAGGAGAAGCTTTGGGGGCTGTCGTGATGCCCTGGGGACCCTCACCCCAGGTGTCTGCTCCCTTCCCTCACCTCGTCGTTGGCCAACCCGATCCAGAGCGGAGCCCGCAGGCTGCTGACGGCCTGGGTGAGGAAAGCTTGGCTGTAGGGGTCGGGGATGGTGGCCAGGGTGGCGTTGAGGGTCTCGCAGAGCAGCAGGGCCTCGTGCCACCTGAGGGGTTTCTGCAGGATGCGGTAAGTGCTGTTGTGGTAAAAGAGGGTGCCGGTGGGCGAGGGGGGGTACGGCGTCCGCGCGGGGCTCAGGGACGGGTCTGGGGGAGCAAAGAGACACGGTCAGAGGGCACAGAGGACACTCCTGCATCCCAGCGGTGGGGCACCCCCCCCCCCCCTCATCCATCCCCCCACCAAGCCAGGGTGTCCTGGGAGGGCGGAGAGGCCACGTCCCCAGGGGTGACGAGCAGTGACACCCCGGTGACACCCCCCCCTCGGAGCTGTCCATTAGGGCGCACGTCCCTGTGGAAGACGCCAAGCCAGGCTGGTGCGCACAGGTTTGGGGTTACCCCAAAAAACGGCTGGGACCAGGGACAAACGACCCCCCCCCACCCCCCCCACCAAGTCAAGCCTGTTGCACCCTGAGCTCCCCCCACGCTGAGCCCATCGCCCCGAGCTCCCCAGCTCCAGCCCCACCCCAGCATGGGTCAGCGAGGTGGGGGTGGCAGGTCCCCAGCGAGCGGGGGCTGTCCCCCTCGTCCCCCTCCTACCGATGCTCCGCTGGCAGATGTAGCCGTGCTTCTCCTCCAGGCAGCTCCGGTCGTCCCAGCGTCCCGTGAAGTGGGGGGGCGAGCCGTGCCACACCACCACGCAGTTGGTCTGCGCAGCCAAGCCGCAGGGTCAGCATGGCCATCCCACCCCCGCAGACACCCCCACGCCAGGGACCCCCCGCCCAACCCTGCAGGGCCGTATCCCGCTCTGCCCTCCCAGAGCCACCCCGGCAGGCTAAAACCTCCCATCCTGACGGTGGGACACGGCGCTGAGACCTTCCCAGGGGATGGGGGATGCTATTGGGGGGGGCGGGGGTGTCTCACCCACCGGCTTGTCGCGGGGGCTGGAGGCGCCGCAGCCCGAGGGCTCGCCGGGCGCCCAGCTCACGTGCCGCAGCGGCTCGCCCTCCACCCACTGGAACTCCCTCTGGGCGTCGTGGAGGCCGATCCAGAGGTCGAAGGAGATGTTGGGCAGCATGGAGGTGATGAAAGCTGCAAGGAAGGAGCGCGGTGCTGAGGTCCACCCCCGGCAGGTCCCCAGCAGTGGGGCCGGGGGGAGCTGGAGGGGGGACACACACACATACCCTGCTCCAGGGGGCTGGCGATGGTGGCCAGCACAGCGCCCTGGCTCTCGCACGCCTGCTTCGCCTCGGGCCACTTCACTATCTCAGCTTTGTCGTGGCCGTTGAAGCTGAAACACTGCACGGGCCGGGGGCACAGGATGGTCCAGGGGGTGCAGCCACCCCCAGCCCCCCCCCCCCCCCCCGCCCTGAGCCCTGCACCCTCCCCACCCAACCACCCTCCACAGCCCCGTTCTGCCCCAACGGTTCCCCCTTTTGCACCCTCGTGCATGCCGACCCCCCCCAACCTCTGCTGCACCCCCACCCCCCAGTGCACCTCTCTCCTCGCATCCGTGTGCGTGCACCCCCAGCACCCACCTCTGCACCTGCACCCCGCACCCCCTGCATGCACCCCCCAGCAATCCCCCCCCAAAAAGACGTGCCCGTGCCCCTCTCCGCTCTGCCATTTCTCAGCCTCGGCGGGGCCGGCGGAAAGCCAGGAGGTGGCCGTCCCCTCTCCGTCCTGCCGTACCTTGCTGAGGAAGGGAAACCAGCCGCGGGGACAGCCCCCGCTCGCCGGGGCGGGCAGCGGCGGGAGGGAAGGCTTCACGGCCGTCCCGTTGCTCCGCTTGCAGATGTAGGGCAGGGCCGTCATGCACTTCTGGTCCCCCCAGTCCTCTGCGGGGAGGGACAAGCCAGGCATGACTCCGCCGCCGCATTGGGGTGGGGTTGGGGGTGCTCAGCCTGCGGCCCCAGCCCCTCCCGAGGCCCAGCACGGCCGGATCCTGCCCCTCACCTCTGCTCGCCGTCATGTACACGCACTTCTTGTCCTTGTTGATGGGCCGGGGCTTGCCCGGCGCCCAGGAGACAAAGTTGAGGAGGGATCCGTCGGACCACCTGGGAAAGGCACGGGCAGGAGCACGAGGCTGAGCCGGTGAACGGGACCAGCTGCAGGTCCTTACTGGGAGCATGCCCCACCACTGCCCTCTCTTGCGTGAGGAACCTCCGTCCCAGCACCCCGGGATGAGCCACGGTGCTCTGAGAGCTGGGGACGGTGGCATGGGGACGTGCAGGGACGCGGTGGCTCTGTCTCTGACTTACTTGAACCTCCCGTCGTTCTCGTAGGTGTGCAGCCCGATCCACCAGTGCTGCTCCTGGCCCCTGGAGAACTGCGCGCCCGGAGGGGACAGGTCAGTGCCCTGCAGGGACTGGCTGTCCTTGGGGACAACCGCAGCCATCCCGGGCACCCCCCTTGCAGCTTGTACCATGGCAAAAGGCACCACCTTCCTGAGCCCTGACCACACACCCAGGCACCGGGACCCGCCGCCACTACCCAAACCCCACCATGACCCCAGCCGAGCCTGGCTGTCCCCAAATAACGTCCCTCCAGCAAAGGATGAAAGAAGCCAGAAAGGGAGCGGCCCGGGGGGGTCCCCATCGCCCTGGTACCTTCTTCAGGTTCTGGCCCAGGAAGCGCAGCTCGGCCTCGCCGTGCACGGACGTCAGCTCCGCCTGGAACCAGCTGCAGATGCGCTGCGCCTGCACCCACGTCGAGTGGTGCTCGAAGAACTTGTACTCGGCCTCCTGGTACTTCACCCACTCTTTGCTGCCTGCAGGCAGGGACCGGTGTCACGTCGTGGCTGTGCCACCCCCCCCACCGCCGCCACCGGCACCCACCACCCTGTCCCTCGGTCCCCCGTGGGTTGGGCTGCTTTGCTTCTGCCCCTCTCCTGCAGCTGAGGGGCTTGATCCTGCCCGGTCCCTGCAGCCATGCTGTGCAGCAAGGAGCAGCAGGATGCCCGGGTTGCCCTCCCTCCTACGGCCCTGCACAGGATCTGTTTTCCAGATAACGCTGCAGGGATGTCCCTTGGGGACCGCGCCTCGCTCGTGCATGTGACAGGGTGGCAGATGCTCGGGGAGGACAGTCTACACCAAACGGACACACGGCCGTGGCCGAGGCACCTTGGGTCGTGATCTCCGGCTCCTTCACGTCGGCACCTGGCAGAAGGGCAAGGAGAGGTTGTCGGCGGGATGTGAGGCTGGGATGCTCCCACTGACGCTTGCCTGCAAACTGCCCACGGGCTCCCAGGGCGAGACACCCTCCCGAATCCCCCCTGTGATGGACAGCATCTCTCCCAGCCCCTGAATTAGGATCCATCTTCCCGTAAAAGCGCAACTTTCGGAAGGGAGGTGACAGAGGGTGCCCCTTGCACCCGCTCTGCCATCCCGCAGCCCATCCTCTGCCAGGTTACTCAGAGCTGAAGGGCTTGGGGGGCCTCTTTGGCGGGTACCTTTGGGCAGTTTGCAGATCCAGTCCAGCTGGGCTTCGCACTGCATCGGCATCCACTGCAGGGAGGCCAGGTCCAGCACCGCGCAGGTCCGGATGTCATCGTCGTCGTAGTTACTGCGGTCAAAGTTGCGGTAGAAAAACTGGGGGTTGAGAGAGACGGGGGCGGTGTTGGGCATTTCCACCAGCGCTGGGTTTGCCCCACCTGCACCTCCAATGCCAACTGGAGTCGTCTCGCCGACCCCCCCCCTGCCCCCAGACTCACCCCCAGCCCGTCGCTCCACCTCCAGCTCCTGTCCCCCGCCGGGTCCCGCCGGTTCAGGCCGATCCAGAACCAGTGCTGCTCGTGGAGGTCCGGCTCCGACTCCCTGCAGGGAGCCAGGGGGAAGGGTGAGAACACCACCCCCTTCCAAAACAGAGGCTTTTATATTTCTATACAAATACATATTTATAATCCGGCTTTTATTTGTCTGTTTTCAAAGCCTGCTGTCCCTGCAACACCCAAAGGCAGGAGCTCAGATAACAGGCACGCCGACTCAGGGCTGAAGGAGTTTTAAATCCAAGCTCCACCCCCAAATTACACAGAATTTCCTGCACTTCTCCCCCATCCCCTCTTCGGTGGAGCCACATCAACTGATGCACCCTCTGCACACAAGTCTGTGCTCAGAGAGCCACGTCCGTGCCCCGTCCACCCAGCCACGGGTGCCAGAGCACACGGGGAGGGGTGCAGGCTCATGCCAAGCACACTCGGGCAGCCTGACGCACCGGCGCAGCCAGCCTCTCACCCAAAAATCTTGTTGAGGGTGTTGGCGATGAAATGCTCCTCCTCATAGCTGCCCAGGCTGAGCAGCTGGGCCCCCAGCTCCCGGCAAAACTCCTGCGCCACAATCCACGTCTTCTTCTCTTGCAGTTTTTCAAAGCTGAACACCTGGGGAAGGAGGAACCGGCAGCAGAGGGGGCTCAGCACCGGGAGAGGGGGCAGAGCATCGTCCCCACCGCTCAGCCTGAACCAGGATTGTGGGGTCCGGTGCTGCCCTTTGCAAGCACCAAACACGCTCCTTCACCCCGCCCTGCACCAGTGGGGAGGCACAAGCACCCCTCACAATGGCCAGGGCAAGCCCCCCCAAACACCCCTCACCTTGTAGCAGTGACGGAGCTTGGAGTCGGAGCTCCAACCCGGGGGGCAGGCAGCGGTGAGGCTGGGCGTGGGGTAGGGACCGGGCAGCTCGGGGTTCACCGGGGTGCCCAGGTTCTGCCGGCAGATGTACTTGGCCTTGAAGGTGCTGCAGTTCTTCACCTCCCACAGCCCCATGGAGCTGCCGGTGGCCAGGGCCACGCAGCCGCCCTTGTTGTAACCTGGAGCGCTCACGGGAGCGGGGAGGACGCCAGCCTTAGGGTCGGATGGTGCCGGGCAGCAGAGCCAGCACCCACCCTGCGCGGAGGGGACGTCCCCATCCCACCCGCCGCCGCCCTCTTACCGGGCTGGTCGCGGTTCCAGTGGGTGTACATAACCTCATCGCCGCTCAGCCAGCGGAAAGCGCCTGTCTCGTTGATGTCCTGCAGAGCTGTCCAAAAATACTCCCCGTCCCAGCTGTAGATGAGGCTGCTGACGTACGCCTGCTCGAACCTGGAGGGGCGGTGAGAGCGGGCGATGCTGCGAGCTGCGCTGCCAAGCAGCCCGCGGTGCTCCAGCCCTGGGACCCACAGCCCCGCTGTCGGGTCACCCCCCACCTCGGGGTGGGGGGGGGGGGGGAGGGGGTGGCTCTCGTTTTGGGGCAAACCCAGCACCACCCGGCGTGACACTCACCTGTTGGTGATGGTGACCAGCGTGGAGCCGTAGTCGGAGCACGTCTTGCGGGCGTCGCTGTAGGGGACGCGGTCCTCCCCCAGCCAGAAGCAGGAGGGGCTGTGCCACTTCCAGCCCTGGGGACGGGTGACAGGGGACATCCGCCACCGCTCACCCCAGCCCTCCCCAGAAGGATGGGAGCAAACCCCAGGGAGGGGTGAAAGCAACGTCCCACATCCCCTGCCACCATCTCTGCCTTCTCCTGGGAGGTCTCCCTGTCCCCGGCCGCCCCAGCTTGACCCCGCTCAGCTTTGAGCTCTAACAAGCCCCCGGCCCCAGAGGACGTGGCTGCAAGGAAAACAAACACCCAGGCAGCTTCAAAGCCAGGGAAACGGCTCTCCCCTGCCAACGTCCAGCCCTGGCCGGGGCGTGGGGAGGGGAACACAATCCTCCTCTATACGCCGCGGGGCCAAATCCAGAGCGAGTCCCACCGCAGCCCGCTTTAATCCCCCCGCCTTGTTGATGTTGGAGCCGCTCCGGGGCCGGAGACACAATAGCGCCTGTTTTCTGCCAGAGCAGGGAGTGGGGCGGCCCCGGGGCTGGCAGCAGCGGTGGCCGCGTGGGGAGGGACGTGGGGGGCTCACCCGTGAGAGGGGACACGCATGTGAAGCTGGGGTTGGAAGGTGAAAGGGCTCGGCTGGGGAGGCAAGTAGCCCCAGGTTCAGGGAACCCTCGGCACGGCAGGAAGCATCACAGAGGTTTTACCCCTGGGTCCCCTGGGCATTGGAAGGACAGTGGGGGACACATGCCACCTGCAGCATCACCAGCACGGTGGGGAGGGAAGCGGGAGGGGAGTTTTGGGAGACCAAGAGGAAAATGGCCCCAAATCCTGTTTTTCTCCCCAGGTTCCTGCTCCTGCAGCCTTTCCCCAAAGTCAGCAAACCCAGGTGTGGACCCACTGGGTCCTGCTGGGAACAGCATGGACACCCCTGAGCAGCTGAGAAAGGGGCCCGGTGCAGGCCACCGATATCCCCCGAAGGGTCCCCAACCAGCCCTGGGCCTCAGCACCACTAAAACCACACGGGTGGTCTCCCATGCACTGAGCACCACAACAAGCTCCTGTGATCCAAAAAGGGGACAGGATGGGACCGACAACCCCAACTGCTGCCTCCAGCTCCCAATCCCAGTGAGCCCCCGCATCCCTCTCTGGCTCTGCCCTTCCCATTGCCCAAACCTCCAGCCCCCATGGCTTCCTTCAAGGCTGTTACAAAAATAAAGGGGGTTTGTGAAGGGGGAGAAAAAACAGCAAAGTCACAAAGGAAAAAACAGCACGGTGGCCGGAGAAGACCAGGGCTGATCCTTGGAGCAACATGCCGCCTCCTTAACATGAGCCTCTACATCTGGGTGGCAAATGGCCCAGGTGAGGATGAGGAGGGAAAGGAAGGATGGGGAAAAGTGTTTTCTCGGTTCATTTATCACTCCCAGTTTGTTTCCCAGGAGGTGAATCTCTGCTGGGCACCCAGGGCCAGGGTAAGACTGTAGCTGGAGAGGCAGGAGAGAGTTAAAATTTGCGTGGGGATATCCTATTAGTCCTCAGGACTGCTGCGGGGACCAGCAGGCAGGGTGGCAGTGGCCCATTGCCACCAAGCGCCTTGTCCCCAGCGACTGCCGACACTGGGGCTCCCCTGGCTCCAGCTGGCAGCCCCCCGACTCTGGCCTGGCATGCCAGCTCGCCCCGCTGCCGCGTCACGCCCCCGAGCCAAGTGCCTGCTGGCGTTTGTCTCTGCTGCCACAGGGTGAAGACCTGGGAGGAGCCCGGCGGCACCTCTGGGAGCCGGCCCGGAGGGGCTGCTTGCTAGTCCGAGCGCGAGCGTGTGCGCTGGCTTGCTTTGAAACGCTGGGAGATGTTCAAGAGCGGCGGCAATGCCAGGCTCCCCCCTCGAAGACTTTGCAAAGAGGCACAAAAGCAACTTCCCAGCAAGCGTGGGAATGGGGCGGCCTCAGCCCCACTCAACAGCCGGGGAAACTGAGGCAGAGTGTGGTCTGAGTGAGAACCTGCCAGTTTGGTGGCTGTGTCCCCAAAACACCCGTATCCTGCCCAGAGAAGGCAGCCAGCCATCGTGCCGAGGCACAGGGCCGGCAGCCGCCTCCGTCCCACTGGGCTCCCACGTGGAGCAGCTTTGCTGCCGTGTTTTGGCACAGACAGAGACAAAGGGGAGAAAAAAAAAAAAAAAAAAAAATGAACGTCTCTGTTGGCAACCAAGCCGGCCCAAGGGGGAGGATCTTGGATGACGGGGACATGCATTTTGTTCCAGTTTCTTCCCATGGCCTCATGTAACCGCAGAAGCGAGGGGCTCGGCAGCCCCCAGGCACCCACCCGCAGCTCTGGGTGCTGCCTGTCGGGGCTCCCTGAAATGGTTTTGGGGAGAGGTCCCCTGTAACCCCAAAGGGCCAAGCATCACGCAGAGCCATGGAGCAGCCAGAGGCACCTCCCACCCCAGGTCTCCCTCACCTTTCGGCACCCGTGGTCATCCTCCTCCTTCTCCTGGCTCACCCAGCCGGGTTTTTTGCAGATGGATGGCAGGGTCTGGTTGCACGGGCTGTCATTCCACCTCCCTTCCTGCACAGCAGGGGCAAGAGCAGGATTGAGTTTATTCAACAGCCTGGGGCATCTCCCAGCTCATGCATCCCCACCTTGGGTCCACAGACTTGCCCTCCCTACATCAAATCCCCACGGATGCTGTGCTGGATCCCTCCCATCCCAACAGCTGGGATGAGCCAGGCTGAATCCCAGCCGGAGATGCTCCCCGAGGCATCCCTGCCCCGGCCATGAGGATGCTGCAGCGCTCTGTGGGGAGGTGCAGGATGAACCCCCGGGCTCTCACCGGTCCCCAGATGGTCACACAGTCTTCCAGGCTGTCGCGGAAGTTGTTGGGCTCGAAGGGGTGCCAGTACGTGAACCTCACGGGCGTCCCATCCGACCACTCAAAGTTCATCTGCAGCTTGAGGTCATTCAGGCCAATCCAGAGCTCCTCCACGTCTGCCGAGACAGGAGGGTTGGGGGGGTGAAACCCCCCCGGCTAACGCGAGCCCCCCATGACGGGACTGTGCAAAGCACTGGCCGCAACCCCACTGCAGGGCCCAGCCCCTCACCCCAGCGGGGCCAGTGGGCAGGAGTGGGCGTGGCAGGGCGTGACCAGGGCGTGGCACCTCCTGCCTGCAAGGTTGGACCCACAGAGGGGGAAACACGGGGACATTTGCCAGCAGTTTTCAAGGTGCTGGCAGCAGCAGAATGGTAAAAGTCCAGACCCAAGGGCTCAGGTCCAGTGTGCTCATCGTTTTCAACCATCCCACCCCATCCCATCCCAGTCTGCTCCCAGTCTTCCTGCAGGTCCCACTCCTTCCTCCACCCTTCTATAGCTCCTGCCTTCCTTGGCATTAACCCCTTCGGCCCCCAGACCCTCCCCAGTCCCCACTGAAGCCTGGGTCCCCCGACAGCCCCGCAGCGGGTTTGGCTGGCAGGCTCTCCCCCCGCAGCGCAGGGCCGGGCTGCGGGTGGGGGGAACAGCAAAACCCGAACCGTGGGTGACCCTAACGAGGGGTGGCACAAGTGAGGTCTTCCCTGTATCACCATGTGATTGCTTGAGCTGAAAATTCCCAAGTACCATCCCAGCTCCGACACATCCCAATATGGGAAACTTCAACCCCCATTACACCGGGGTGAGGCCAGAACTGGGAAGGGAAACCTGGGGTGCTGCAGGCAGGCGTGCCCCCTTCTCTTGACCTGCTGCAGGGGACACTCGTGCCCTGGGCAGATTTAGCAGTAAAAGGTGCAGCTTCCTCTAGCAAGCCCAGCAGGACTTTTTTTTTCCCATCTTTTTCCCCATTAACCAACTGGGACTAGTGCCATTCCCAGCTGCGGCTGCCTATTTTCCTCCTCGGCACTGCAGGCTCCCGGGAACACCTTTTACATTTGCGGGATGGACGACGCACCCGGGGGCACGGGCTCCTCCAAGCAACACATCACCTCCCAGCCTGGGGCCTCCACTCCCTTCACAGCCACAAATTAATTCAACTTCGCAGCCTCCATCACGCAGAAGTGACCCTTCCCCGGACCCCAAAACGGGATAGGAAGGGTGGTGCTGACACAGTGGGCTCCCCCTTACCTTGCTTGATCTGCTTGGTGACGAACTCCAGCTCGGAGAGGGTGTGGATGCTGACCAGGTCCCCCCCGCTCCGCAGGCAGGTCTTCTTTGCCTCCTGCCAGCTCTTCTTCTCTCCCACCAGACGGTAGCAGTTGGACTGGAAGGGCTGCCAGCTGGGCTCGCAGTCCACCTTCACCTCCGACCACGAGTCTGGCAGGACACAAAGCAGCCTGAGGGCTCCTGTCCCGCTCTCCAACCCCGTCCTTGGCAGGGAGGGGACCACGGGGACGGGACCACAGTCCCACGGGGTGCTCAGGAGACCAAGCCAAAGTGGGGATGGGAAGGCCATGGCCAAAACGTAACACGCAACAGCAAGGTGCAGGCAGAGGTGGCTTTACAGCTCCGGGGACAAACCAAAATCCCTTGTTTGCAGAGAAGCGATAGCAGAGCGGAGAGCACCCTGACCCCTGGGGAGCACGGGGGACCTCCCGCTCCCCTCGATTCCTCCCCTACCACCCAACCTGTAATGGCACTGAGCGCTGGACACGCCTCGGGGAGGACCTTTTCCAAATCGAGGCAACTCTGGGGAGCTCAACCACTGCTCTGCACATCCAGGGCACCAGCAAGCTGGGGACACCGTGGGTATCTCCACGAGCCGCTCCAGACCGTGCTGGGATGGGCGCATGCTCGGCCAGGATGGGGGGTTAGTGGTTCCCAGTGCTGCTCACGCCCCTGCTCACCCGTCAGGAAGGGGTCGGCCGTGGCGTTGGGCTTCTTCTTGCAGACGTAGGGGAGGGCGATGCCGCAGTCGCGGTTCTGCCACCCCCCGGACGACTCGGTGCGGATCACCCCGCAGTTCTCCTCGCTGGGGTTGTCGGGCTGGTCTGAAAAGCGGGATGGGGGGGGGGGGGGGGGGGACAGGCTGCTGAGGGGCCGGGGCAGAGCCACCAGCGCTGCCCACACGGGCAGGGCACCGCGCGAGGGCAGGCGCCGGCAAGGTGCAGCTCTCCCTGCTCCAACACCAGTAAAGACCTATTTATTTCATTATTTTGCACGACAAAGACGTGACCCTGCATACCGCGGATTATTTATTGTGCCTCGATGCAGGAGGACCTGGGACATCGCTGTTTTACCTAGAAGTGCTGGATGGCAGTCCCAGGGGGACATGGCACCAGACCTGAACTGCTCCTGCCTGTCCCCAAACCTGCTCCTGGGGCATCACTGTCCCCACGAGTGCCTCTGGGCAATGGCACTGGGCATGACCAGAGCAGCCCTCACAATGGGTCCTTCTATCCCCTGAGCACCCAAGGGTTAGAGACGGGCATTCGCAGGTGGGGACCACTCCTCCAGCACCAAGCTGGGATGCAATGACCCTTCAAACAAGGAAGCTCAACCCAGGTTATCCACTGGGCTGCTGAGGGCTTGCAGAGGGACAGCCCCCCCATCCCACACCCTGTGTCCCCGCTACAGCTCCATGGGTGTCTCAGGCTGCTCTGCAACCCCATGGGACTCTCCATCCCCAGGCAGTCTGGGACACCCCACAGCAGCCCGGGCCACCTCCCCTGCCCTGGGACCATCTCCGGTGGTCACAGGCGGTTCCCCAGCCCTCCCCATCACCACCGTGACCCCCCCCCGCCCCGTCTCACCACTCTCCCAGTTGAGGTACTTGAGGGGTGAGTTGTCTGACCACTGCCAGCCTCCGTTGATGTCCAGGTCATTGAGCCCAATCCAGAGTGTGGAGCTGTACCCCGTCAGCAGCCCTGGGACCGATGCAGCCAGAGGGGCAGGATCAGTCCCCCCAAGCCCCAGCTCAGCACCCAGCCAGTCACCATCCCCAAACCAACCACCCGGGGCAGGCAGAGCAATCTGGTACCAGTAATGGCCATGGTGTCACCAGCTCTGCCCCTGGCCAGGAGGACAGGGGTGCAGCCAGGCTGCCACCATGTCTCACCGTTGATGTACGTCTGCTCATGGATCTCGGTGATGCTGAGCAGGTTGGCCCCTTGCTGCTCGCAGCTATTCCAGGCCTCCCGCCACGACAGCGTCGACTGGAAGTTGAACTGGTAGCAGCTGTTGGTGAGGTGGTCCTTGTCCCAAAAGGTCTCGCAGTCATTGCCTGCAGGGACGAGCAGGGTGAGCACCCAACACAGCCCCAAAAGACCCCAATAACCCAGAAAAGCCAGAGAGAGAAGCCAGCGGGGATGCTCCGGCACTGCACGCTGCTCACGGGATGACGGACAAGGCAGGAAGAAAGGGGAGAGGAAGGAAATCCCCTGGGAAGGATGGACATAGCATTTTTCCTTTTCCCCGTGGGATGCATCCCCCCCCACTTACTCTTTATGGGGCAGAAGCCCCATCGCTCGTCCTTGCCGTAGTCCTGGGTGGTGGCACACCAGAGATGGCCATCCTCCCGCCCCGTGCTGGTGCACTCGTGAAACCACTGGTTGTCATACTTGAAGGGGATGGTGCACGGCTTCCCGTGCGAGTTGCCCTGGATGGTGTAAATCTCTGCAGGAAAAGAGGAGCCCTTGCTTGAGGCTGCATCTACGGGGGGCTGGAGGGAGGTTTGGGGTGAGGGGTGCAGGTTGGCTTGGCGTGGGGTCTAGCAGGGTGCCCGGAGGCTGCCCGCTCCCCATCACCCTCATCCTGCCTGGTTCTGCAGCCCCAGCAAGCTGGGACCGAGCTCCCCACGCAGGACATGACTGCTGCAGCACCACAGCCTCAGCTCGCGTTTTGGGGCTGGTTTGGGTTACGGGATAATACTAACGCCCAACGAGGCATTACCAGCGTAGGGCACGGAGCACAGATCCTCCTCGGTGCCGTACGTCCTCCACTGCGAGCCACGCGCCTGGTCACCCCGGTCCAGGGAGGAATTGCCCGGGCGGGCTCCGAGGTGCTGGGAGAGCTGCTCCCCGAGGCCGCGGCAGCTCCAGCGCATGTTGACGGACTCGCGGTCGCACTCGTAGGTGGCCAAGGGGTGCAGCCCCGCTGTGGCGTTGGCCCCGTGCCACGACACCCCCAGGCACTGCATGGACCCCACGTTGAAGAGGCGATTTCGCGAGACCCATTTCCACTGCTGGGCTGGGGCGCTGGCGTTGCAGCCCTTGGCGAGTCTCACCAGCGAGTCCTTCGTCTCCAGGCAGCCCTGCGCACCCGTGTTGTAGATGAGGAAGACTTTGGAGTCTGGGTAAAAAACAGGCAGAAAGGGTTAAAGCGTTGCTGGGGATTCGGCATCATACCACACATTCCCCCCAGCCTGATCAGAGCATCCTGGCTCCCCTTCTATGCACATTAAATCTCAGGGTGCATCCCCGTGCGCCCATCACACCGGGGACCATTGCTTCCCTGCAGAAATAACCCCGGGGTTTGCCCCATTGCCCGTCCTCGGGGTGACGGGCTCCAGGCAGGGCGATAGGGATGGGTGTTTGCACCCAGAGCCGGCTGAAACCTCGTGGCATCCTCACGAAGCACCAGCAAAGCATCTTTCGGGCACCAGAACCAGCGCAAAGAGTTCTCACAGCATCCGCAGAGCCATTTAAAAACCAAGTTCCCGCTGGCAGCGCCCAGCCCCGGCATCCCGAGCAGCCCCGCGCCGGCGCCGAGGAGCCCACGCCAACGGCTTCGGCACCGGCCATCTGCTCCGGGCAGAGAAAAACAGAGCAGGGAAATAGAGAGCCCATCCGTCATTTTTATGTGTATTTGGGGACCTGTTAAAAAACTGCGGAGCAAACAAGAACTTTGGGGGGAAGATGTCCCAGCGCACGAACAGGGCGTGATGGAAAACGCCTGCGCGCAGCCGCGGCTCCCGCGGGCACGGCCCCAGCCCCAGCAAAGACGAAATGTCGCGTCGGGACCCTCCGAAATCCCAGCGCAGGCGTCGGGAGGCGGGAGCAGAGCGAGGGAAATCGCTGCCAGCAGATAAAAGCGCTGCTGCAGGCGCGGAAGGGAGAAAGGTTGATCCCAACCCCAGCCCCACGCACGTCCCACGGACCTGCCTGCTGCGACAGCCCGAGCCCACGGCCCCAGGGCAAACCCCCGACCCCCCCCCCCACCACCACCAAGGGCCAACCCAGCACGTGAATCCATCCCAAAACCCACATAAACCAGTAAACCCAAGACGTTACGCTGGGACACGTTGCTCCAGCTGACGTGTCGTTTTTTTAAAAGATACTTTACTTCTTCAAATTAATGTCTTTAAGCTAAAAAGCCGCCCCCGGAGCTCTGCGCAGCTGCCTCTTGCCCCAACGCCCCCGCAAAAAGCTGCCCAAAGCAGCACATCAACAAGACGACTTTTGTCGGTTTTTGTTTGTTTGTTTTAAAAGTGACCCATTTTTTTCCACCACAAGCATTCACCAGAAGTCAAAGCGAACTCACGGGCCCCGCTATATTTAGCTCTGGTTTGCTTTGGTTTTTTGCCATTGTATGAATTTTTTGGGCTGAAAAGGTTTTAATTTCCTATTCCCCCACAACCTCACCCTGCCCCAGCTATGTTGTTACAGGCAGCTCCAGCACATTCGAGCAACAAACATCTTGGCTCAGTGAACTTTCCTGAATTGTCTCTGAAAGGAAAAAAGAAATGGAAGAAGAAAGACACCCCCCCCCCCCCATTTCATTTCAGAGCTTCAGCATTGCCCTGGTTCCAGAAAATAAATGATGTAAAAGGCCTGTTCCCCAGCAGAGATGACATCACTGATGACCTCAAATAAACAAAAGTGAAGCCCATTTACATGGCAATCTCCAAGGAGCAGACTGCACATGTGCAACACAGAAAGGCAATGACTGGAAGAAGAAACATTCAATTTCTTAGAAAATATTTTTCAAATCACGGCAAGGAAGAAAATAAGCAAAAATTCAGACTGGGCCAATTCTGGCTGGCTGAAGCCCAAGTCCTTTAAAGTGGTGCCAGTGTGTCACCCACTGGAGCTGGCTTGATCCTGACCTGGACATCAGGAGACCAGCTCGTCCCTGCACCAAACACCCGCCTCACCGTGCCAGCATCATCCACAGCATCACCCAGCCCGTCACCGTCCCCTTCCCACATAGAGCAGGGGTGGTGTGACCCACCTCCGGCCCCAGGGACATGGAGGGGTCTTTAAGCACTTCTGGGGTGTTGCAGCACCAGTTCCACGACCCAAGTACCAGCACGTGGGCAGGATGAGGCCTCCCTGGGCCACAGGCTCACGCCACAGTGCTTCGCAAAGGAGCCAAATACCAAACCTTTGGTACTAGGAATAGAAAAAGCTGCTCTACCACGAGCACTGTCACAGCCGTTAGCAGCAGGGGTCAGCAACGGGACACCCTTCTCTGCTGATCTGCTAACCTGGCTTTGCAAGAAAAAATTAATAGCATGTTGGAAAAGCCCTAAAGCCGGCCCTGGGAGCTGGTGTCAGGGTGCTCAGCACCACATCGGGGCCATGCAGCATCACACAAGGGCGATGCTCGATGGCAGCCACGCAGCAGCACGGTGCTCAGAGGAAGCTGCCCAGACCAGACAGGGCAGCTCCGGGGCCAGAAAAGCAGAAAATATCATTTTACTCTAAAAAGAGAAAAGCTGGAGGTAGTAAATTATAGGCTAAGGGTTTTGGTCTGCCCCCGCACACGGCAAGCAGCTCAGCCCATGGCCCCTTAGCTCGAAGCAGGCAGAAGAGGACACCCAACGTGTCCCCCCCCCCGCCTCAGTCCCTGCTGAGCCCTGCAGCAATGGGAAAGCTTCAGCACCAGCTCAGCCCTCGCCCCTTCCCAGTGCCTCCATCTTCTCCCCTTCAAAAAAAAACGCTGTGCAGCGACAGCGGGGAGCTGCTCCCAGCAAGGCTGGAGCCAGGGGGGACGACCAGCATGAGCCCACCACACGGCAGCAAAGGCACATGCTGTGCTTCACCCAAAATACACTCTTCTTTCACTTACAGGGAATTTGGGGCTGACTCGACCCCCGCTGGTGTCTGTGACATCGCCAGCGGTGCCTGGACAGGCCCTCAATGCACCAAAAAGAGCTTTCAGCCTCCCGGACCCCAACCCCCCCTGGCACGGCCGAGCCCGACGGGCTTCGATGTCTACGGAGCCAACAGCTCCCCCGCAGACCACCAGCCTTCTCCTGCGCGGTATTTCTGCCGAACCCGGGCTCTGCCCGACCCTCTCCCGGCTGACGCTTGTGGAGAACCCTCCGAAAGGCGGCTGCAGGGACTGTGCTGCTCAGCACCAGCCTGGCTGCGGCCGGCTCCAGCTCCACCAACGATGCTCAGCGCCCGAACCGAGCGCCTGAGTGAACCCTCCCTGCTCCCACCCGGCTGCCGATGAGCAGGGTGGACGTGAAGTTGGGCGGGATGGGGCCAGTTTGCATCGATGAATCCCTTCTCCCACGCCAGTATCCCACAGAGCAAACCCGACCTTCGCAGGAGGCGGCTCCAGAGAGGCATCCCAGTGGGACTGGGAATGTCCCCGTCCCTTCCAGGGCCCCTGCTCTCGCACTGCCCTCCGCAGCCACGGCACAGCTACGGCGGACTCTCTCAGAGATGCTCCTCGGGTTTTTGCACCCACCTGCAGACTCCAAACCCCGCTGGCAGAGCTCCCCAACCGCTCTCCAGCGACAGAAACCCAACCACAGCAAACGCCGGCAGAGCCTCCTCCCTGCCCCAAAGAGGAGCTGCCCGCACACCCTATCCATGCCTCTCCCTCCTGCATCCTGTATCTTTCAAGCAGGGCCAGCTCAGCACAGCTCTGCTCCATCATGCCCTCCTCCTCCTCTGCAGAGGAACTGTGAAAGCAAAGCAAAAACCCGTTTTTTCAGCCAGGATGCTGTCTGCTCCCAGCCATACAGACACCTGGATGCTGCCTCTGGTTTACTGGTATGAGCGTGGAAACCAGCCGGTGGTATGAGGCAGCGTGATGGTGGGGATGGTGGGGAACTGGGGCTGCGACCGACTGGTTCTGCCCGCAGAAACACTCTCCACTCCCACGGGGGAAACACTGGGATGCTCATGCTCTGGCACAGTGGGAGAAACTGACCCTGGTACTGGTGGCTGAACGCTGCGGAGATGGAGGAGCTGTGATCCTTTGCGGCAGCCCTCAAGGGAGTTTTTACACCCCGTGCCTGGCTCCAGGTGCTCTTTTTTTCTAATTAAAAAGCACAAGTTTTTAGCCAGCAGGAAGTCTGAACTGAAGGGAACTCAGCTCAACCCTTCCCACAATGGCTTTACCACCCCATGGCAAATAAGGAAAGCTTCACAACCTACAATTTTGGGGAATGTGGGCAGCACCAGATGAGAGGCCAACGGAGAGGTGGAGGCTCCAGGGGACAGAGGTGGCCGTCGGTGGTGGCAGACACAGAACACGCCCTGAGCACATCCCAGCCCGGCCACCCGCACCAGGACACCCAGAGCACCCCTACTCCATTGCATTTGCCACCCTCCCATCACCAGCAACAACGGCAGGATCAAATTTAAGAGAGGACAGAAGCTACGAGGGGACCCAGGTCCCTGTTATCCTGTGCTGAAGCGGCTCCAGGGCTCTGGCTGCAATTTTGCCCGACAGCAACCAAAAGCAAACGCTAGCCCCAGCGTGGCAGTGCCACTCCAGCTCTGTGCCACATCCCCTGCCACCCCCCTGGCTCCTCTGCGAGGCTCATCGTGACACCCATTTGATGGCAGAGCCCTTCACGCAGCTCTGGGGCTCAGCCCTGTCCTGCAGCTGCCCTGGTGAAGGTGCTCCCTGCCCAGTGCTCTTGCTTGGGATCACCCTTTATTTGGAGTGTCCTGAAAAACCCAGCCCCAAGCCCACTTGTGTGGGACGCTGAGCATGCACAGAGCAACAGGGACGATCCCCTCCTCGAAGGTTTCTGTGCTGCAGACACAGCCACGGAGGTGGTTTGCTCCAAACCACCTGGCAAAGGCAGCAAATCCTCCAAATTGGACATGGTGCCCCAGCCACGGCAGCAAACCGGGCTCCATCGGGGCTCCAAGACCCCAGGAGCTCCTCAGGGGCTGCAGACCCCCATGCAAGGAAAGCAAGCCTGCTAGCAAACGCCTTTGCTGGGATTTTGGAGCCCTTGCAAAAGTTTTACTCATAACATCCTGCAGCAAGAAACCCACTCTTCACTCGCATGGCGCATAAAGAAACCTCTGTTCAGCCTGAACCTCCCAGTTTCAGGTGCTCTCAACCACTGGAAAAGAGGGCACAGCAGTGCCAAG